ATTAATTTTATTTAAAATGTAACTTAAAAATAAAAAATAACCATAGTATCGTTGAGCTCTTCAAATGTAAATAACAAAATATAATGCTTTAGAAGTTGCCACTGCTCAATTATACATTCAACTGCTGCTTCCAAGGATAGCCATCGCGTTTTACATAGCCCTAGGATGTTATGTTGCGAAGCATCGAAAGCGTCTTGAAAATTTTTAAAGTCATTACGACGTTTTGAACTAAGGGAAAAAAGGAGTAAACGTTTCTTACAAGCTTCTCTAGCCTTGCAGGCAGTTTCTTGGGCGCAGCAGATGAACACAAATTCAATGTGTGGCACGTGCACCCTAAATAAAATAAGCTATTATTTGCATCTTAAAATTTTTTTCTTACGCTATTATATCTTCCCCTCATTACTGCAGCATTATCAGTAGCAAGACCTATCATGTTCACCAAGGGTATGTTCATCGAATTTAAATAGCTCACGGTGACATTGTACAACCCTTGTGCCGTCGCATCTTCAATCTCCAGAAGTCCAAAAAAACAATCCTCTACAGTATTTTTGTCAGGTGGAAGATAACGAACAATTAAGACCAAACACTTTGTCATACTGATGTCCGTTGCTTCATCCATAATCAAAGAAAAGCGGGTGGATCGCAGTTCTTTCGCAATGTTTTCTCTAGTGTATGGCCCTAAAATGCTTTTAAACATTGAATATGCTTGTCACTAGGGTACATAAAATTGAAGAGTTGTGGTAATGTGCTCATTGTTTTAAGTGCAAGCGAGTGTTGTACGCAGTGCATCACCATGGTGATCTCTTTAGACAATTTTTCAGTCGACGCAGTTTTTTGTGAAAGACTTTCAGTCACAGAAAGTTGCTTAAGGTGGTTGGTTTCCTTTACCTTCACTGCATTTTGGTGCTTTGCCAATTTTGAATGTCGTTCCAAAAGAGTGACGTCATTTGCCAGCGAACAGTTGCACAGTTTACAAAACGCCTTCATCTCATAACATTTTAACCATTCACGACTCTTTTCCCATTCGGGTTTGTATTTCTGGACGTATTTTTTCTTCTTTATTTGTGGCTCATTTTCATCCCCATGCGTTTCCGCGACAGGTGCAGGTACTGGGACAACTTCAATTACGCCCGATGCTCTACTTTTAGTAGAAGCAGTAGCGGTACACCGACTGAGCAAATTTCTGAAATATAAGAAAATTATAGCGCAAATACTTATATTAAAGTATCATGGTTTACCTTTTTAAAAACTTGTCCAAGCAAGCATGCCGCCAAACGCGCTTGTCCACAATTACCACAAAATAATGCTGCCAACTTTATGTATAGTGCATTGCATTTACTCTGTTCGAGTACTCCAGGATTAAGTCCAGAAAATAGTACTGAAGATATTATGAATGTGTGTACGGTAATGACTTCTGACTAATTCGTGGAGTACGGGAACAGGCCAACAGAAATTATTAAAGGAATGTCGATGCTGCCAGATATCATGTTTAAAACTTTATAGCAACTAATTGCGAAAGTGTTACCACTTTCACCAAATATGAACTTTTTGTATTTGCTATTGACAAATCTTTATAATTATTATTAGAACTGAATTAAAAGTTTAGAGTTTTGTGAAAATTGGAAATAAATGTTCTGTCTAAAAATGTGGTAGATTTTAAGCCTTGCGTGGTAGATGTGGTAGAAACCCAAATTTAAAAAAAATATGTGGTAGATCTACCACATATGTGGTAGAGGTTTGCACACTGGTTGTATGCCATTGCCAGCTCACTATTAACACCTAGCACCTAGATGCATGCTACAACTCCAGCATTAACGATTGAAATTCTTTTCGTTAAAAACCAAAATAGAATTACTTTGTTAATTACCTAACTATAAAAAAAAAAAAATGCTTCGTTTCAACAGAAACGATAGATTTTTTTGGTAAACGCTAAAATTAACGTTACAATGCATTCTTGGTATGTACTTAAGCACTGCAAATATACCAGCAGAAATACTCTTCACAGGTGTACACGAGTAAATGGAACATATATTTTAGAGTACTTAAAAATATAGGAACAAAAAAAGAGAACATCATAAACTTGAGGAACTAAGCAATGTTACTCAACAGCGCTCTGCTACATA